AGGGGCCGCTGCGACAGCGCCCACCACGGGGAGAGCGACCGGCCGCGCGGGGCTGGGCGGCGCCTCTGCGGGGCTCACACGGCCTCCGCGCAGCCGGGTGCGACGCCGCCGAGGGAGCGGCCTGAAGACCGGAGTTCGTGAGCAGAGCGGGCGCGCAGCCCGCGGAAGCCCGGAACCCTGCCGCGCCCCTGGAGATGTATTTTAAGTGCGGTTACATCACTCGTTCCAGCTGCCTGCCACTTGCGCTTTTTCATGGCTGTTTGAATGAGAAAGGCCAAGGGTGGTCTGAAAACATGAGTCACTGTTGGGAGCAGGATTAATTCTTCCTTCGTTTTTTCCAAAATAAGCCTTCCTCGCCCCCACACTCACACAGCAGATATTCACTGGAAGCTGCGCTGTGGTTTGGGGTGCTGCTAGGGACAGAAGAGCAGGCAGGACAAACAAGGGCTGCGCCCTCCGGGGACTTAAATCTCAAAAGCAGTCGAAGCGGACAATTTTAGGAAATACTCTATAAATTATTGAAACAAATTGTAGAAGGGGGGAAGAGAATGCATAATGAATTAAGTTTGTGTTATGTACATGAATGTAATCGTTAGGAGCTGCATGCAAAACTGCACAAATAGAAATGTTTTTAAAATAATGTCTAGGCGGGGCATTGTGGACCACACCAATATCCCAGCACTGGGGAGGCTGAGGCTGGAGGATCATTGCGAGTTCAAGATCAGCGTGGGCTACAGACTGAGCGCCAGGCCAGCCTGAACTGCATAAAGAGACACTGTCTCAAAAAGAGAAAAAAAAAAAAATCTAGCAGAAGGAGAAAGTACCCTGTAGGGCAGGCAGTTCCTCTACATGGTGAAACAGACCTTAAGCACACCAGTGTTCAGCTCTTGCACAAGTACTGATTAAACAGCTAGCAGGGGTGGGGCCCTGGGCCGAGGTTGCTAGGTACCCCTGAGTAGGTTCCTCTTTTGGCTGCTAGTGTAGCTCCACTCAGACCACAAACCAGGGCACATTTCTTGCTGCATGAATCCTACTCTTTACCTTGGGGTTTCTGTTTCCACTTCCAATCTGGATGGCAGGGCGCTACCTAGATACCAAGTAAGTTTCATCATAAAATACACCCTTTTCTTTCATCTCACCTGTAGGAAATGGCGATACTGTGGGAACACAGCATGCCAGCATCCCTCCATCTCAGTTGGAAAAAGATCTCTTTGTAGTGGATGTCAGGCTCACACTGGTGGGTGAAACTGTGAGACCATCACAGGCACTGCTGTGCTGTGCCATCCAGGTCCCCTCTGAGGGCCACATTAGTACCACCTGCCCGCCCCCCCTGCTGGCAGAGAAAGCCCCTTGGCCAAGCCCCGCCTTCCTAGAACAGCTGACTTCCAACGGGAGAGACCAGCACAGGGACAAAAGGCCTTAGCCCAGCACCTCTTACCTCGGAAAGCAGGGCATATATCCTCTCTGCCGCTTCATACTTCTCAACAGTGCCACAGGCTTCACGATCCAGATTCATCATCAAAGCCAGGACACTTTGGCCACAGTGTGCCCAAGAGCAGGCCAGGTGAGCCTGTACAACTGTTGTCAGCCACCCCGAGAGACAGAGGGTGCTCTCCAGGGCCATCAGGCTGCTGCTTACTGAGAAGATGCTTGGCGGTCTCTTCGGGGCAACTGGAGACTTAGCAGCTGCTTTTGCTTGAAACGGTGGCGCTGGGGCCTACAGATGGCCACTGGGTACCAAGTGAGGATAAAGCCTCATCTCCTGGTCTTCATCTGTGTCTGTCTCTATTACCTGAAGACTTTGGATCAGATTCATGCTCAGCTCTGTATATAGATGTATTCATCATTCAGGGAGTCCCTGTCTTAAAAAACTGGGAATAGAAGGCTTTTAAAGTAGAAAAGCCCCTTTTATTCTGTATTTCTTTTTCCAACCTGCCCCATATAACAGCCTCCTCAGTTGTTCCGGATGCCTGCAGTTCACTTCCTGCAGGGATCCGTGGGTCTCCCTGTTCTTTGTTAACAAGCCAGCCTCCTCCCAACCATCAGAGCTGTCTTCAGCTTTTCTTCTCAATCTGAAATCCCTCCCCCATTTTCTTTTTTCTAATTAAAACTCTTCCTGTGAATTCAAGCTGTTGCCTCAGTTTTGTTTTTTGGTTGTTTTGGCGGAACCAGGGATTGAGCTCAGGCCCTTGCGCTTGCCAGGGAAGCGCTTATTCCACTGAGCCATCTCCCTGGCCCTGTTGCCTCAGTTTTAATTTCTAGTACCCCTAAGCAAGGATCCACACAAGCCACTTGCACAATTGCTGATTAGTGAAGGCTGGAGACACCCCCACCAGGCCTACAGCTCGATTCTCCCTCCACCTAGTCCCGCTTCCTTCTGCCCACGTGTGTGGGCCCCAAAGCGCTTGCCCAGTAAATGTCCTGCAACCCAGAGTTCTCTTCAAGAACCAATGCACAAAACAGCCAGTGCCAGGGATGACCAGGAAGATTAGATGCTAAGAAAAGTATCTGGGAATTGGGTTGCCCATGTAAGAAGGAGGATCCCCCCAGGAGGGGAGGAGCAGAGGCAGCCCCTGACACAACTGCAAAATATTTTACTGGGAGGAACTGGAATGATACACCAGGGGAAGGACATGCACTAGAAATGGGCTAGCTGGTGCCGTCTCACAGTCCTTCCGGCGAGGAATCAGCAGTCTACCACACACAGGGACTCGAAATGTGTCCCAAAAGTCTCTTGCCCTTTTTTTTTTTTTTTTTTTTTTTTTTTTTGTCTTTTTGAGACAGGATCTCGCTATGCAGCCCAGGCTGGTCTCGAATTTGCAGTGATCCTCCTGCCTCAGCCTCCCAAATGCTGGGATTACAGGCATGTGCCACCACGCCCCACTGACTCTTGCCCTATTTTGGTACTAAGTGAACAAATGCAGAACCCATAGCCTAAAAAGTGGAGGTCTAGACACTCGGCGCATGAGCCACCCAGGCCATCCAAGGCTCTGGTGGAGGGGGAGGCCGGAGGAAAGGGTGGTCATGCCAGCTGTGCTTCACGCCGAGCTGCAGCCACACCAGCGAGAGATTGCTCCACCTTCTTCTCTAAGTTTTCCCCCAGAGATGGCGCCAGCTCTCAGCCGCTGACTGAAGCAAGCCAAAGCTGAGAACTAGAGTGAGAAACAGCAGCTCTGTGTGTGCATGCAGCCTGCCTTCTCACACCCATGCAGGCTGTGATGCCCGTATGGGCGATACGCTGGAAAACTCGTCACTGCTGAAACATGGCCCACTTTCCTAGAGGGCAGTTTTATTTGAAGATAAAAGGGATTTTAAATTACTACGGAGCGTAATATAAAATGTCATGGTCTGCACAGCACCATGCGGCCCCATGGCAAATGTGGCACAGGTCTGCCCTTCAGGCCTGCAGGACTGTTCCCCAGCTCCAGGGAAGGGCACAGACTGTCAGTCCCCGCTGTAAGCCTTCTTGAGGTACTGTGCTCGGCTGAAGAGAGCCGCCTTCCCCAGTGACTGCAAGGCAGGGGAAGGCCTGACCCTCTGCCCATGCCCACCTGCTTCAGGGCTCCCTGTGCTTCCCGAGACTGCACTTGACCTCCCCTGACGCATCCTGCTTCCTCCTGTCCCCCACAGGAGCTGATCCTGAGAACGCTCCCTAACAAACTTCCTGAACTCTGATCAATAATCTTTTGTTGCTGAGTAAGGTCCGAGGGAACACTGCGAGGCAGAGCTTGATTTCAGCTCTGGACACAAACTCTTGACCTCCGCATGTGGCTCCCTTATCTTCTCTAATCCCAGAGCCTCCAGGAACACACATGGTGCAGGTAGCACGGTCCTGGCCCACTGGACCTCCCGGGATGAAGTATGTCCTTTACCCTGTCAGGTGGTGGTGCGGCCCCTTCCACAGCGTCCCTAAGGTCCTGTCTGGACTCAGCCTCTTAGGGGCTAAGGCTACCACCTACCACAGTAAAGCACACCACGACCACGGGCCCTGTAACATAGTTCACAGATATTTATGTCTTCCCACTGCCAGCAAACTTCTCCTGGGGCTGCCAGCGTAACTTCTCCTGGGGGCCTTCAGTATTCTGGGTCCCCACGTCTTGCCTTGAGGCTCAGCTCTGAATCAAGAGGACCCAGTTGTTTGTTTCACGATGGATGAGAAGATGGGATGCTTCTGTTACCAAGACAGTGACTTCGGGAGTCTGCGTGGTTAGACAGGGGACAGAGTCCTGGAGGAACGGTGTGACCTCTCCAAGTTCAATTATGCTTATTTACAGTACTGAACCCAGGGGTCTTCCCACTGAACTACGTTCCCAACCACCACCATCCCCGTTTGATGTTTTTTGGTTTTTTTTGCAGAACCGGGGATTGAACTCAGGCCCTTGCGCTTGCCAGGGAAGCGCTCATTCCACTGAGCCATCTCCCTGGCCCTAACTATCCCCATTTGAGACAAGGTCTAAGGCCCTAAATTCCCTGGAGTGGGCTCAATTTGTGATCCTCCTACCCCAGCCTATCAGAGAGCTGGGATGATAGGCGTGTGCGAGTGTGTACCAACACACCAGCTTTGCTCCTCTGTTTTTAACATCACCCCTCAAACCCTGAGGACTGCCTCTACCAAAAATCTAGGTTGGAATATTGAGAAGGGAGCCACTCTGTCCTGTAGATCCCAAGGGCTTGGAAACTTGAACCTCCAGCTATATTTAAAGAAAACAGTATGATGTAGGCCTAAAATCAGGGATTAAATACACAGTAAACCATGTGTTCCCTGCGTATCCCACTCCCTGTCCTAGTCACTAGGCAGGGATAGGAGAAGACACTTTTTTTTTTTTTTTTTTTTGTGGAACCAGGGATTGAACTCAGGCCCTTGCACTTGCCAGGGAAGCGCTTATTCCACTGAGCCAGCTCCCTGGCCCCAGAGAAGCCACTATTGCCTACAGTTATGTGTAGTCATTAGTCTTATAAGAATATTTTATTTATTTATTTATTTATTTATTTATTTATTGGCAGAACCTGGGACTGAACTCAGGCCCTTGCCCTTGTCAGGCAAGCGCTTTTTCTACTGAACCATCTCCCCGACCCCAAGAACGTTTTAGAATATTTTAGCTCCACATTGGATGCTTTTGCGCTTTCATCTAACATCTCCAACCTTCTATGGAGAGACAGACACAGGAGTGTTTGGGGTGTGCTGCCAGGATAAAAGGAATATTTTTTTTAAATTTAATTTTATTTATTTATATGTGTGTGTGTGTGTGTGGCCAGCTCAGCCCACCAGGAGGCGGGGCTGGCTGGCATGTTGTGCTGGGGGATTAAACCGCACTCCCTGTGCTTTGCTAAACTCGTTCTAAGTAGGTGCTTTAGATCACTGAGCCATCTCACCAGCCCAAAAAGGAATAATTTGTACTTCTAGTTTTTAAACACAAGAACTATGTCATAATCATCCACGCAGTTGGAGCTGGAGCATCTGCAAGCTGTGGACCCGAGGTTCTCATCAGCCGGCCATGAGTATTAGTGGGTACTGTGGGGGAATTTAGCTCTGTGCACTTAGTTGCTTCTGTTAGGGGCCGCTCAAAAGAGCAGACAACAGCAGACAGGCAAGAGAGGGAAAAGAATAAAACTGATCAAGATGTAAGATGTATATGCACTAATGCACCAAGATTATTACAATTACTATGCATTACAAACATATTAAAGTTTTAAAAGGTTAAAAAATATTATTCCAAAAAAAAATATTATTCCACAAACTTCTCCAGCACTTAACAAAAAAGAAAAGAAAGTCAAGACCTACTGCAGTGATATGTGTTATATCTGAATCCCTGGAATACATGAATTATCTTGTGTCAATTTTTGTGGCAGAGGCAAAAATATATAACCTAAAAAATCTTTTTCTCAAGAAAGCAATGTTTGCACAGAAAAGTCTTAAGGTTAGCAATCAAATCCTTCCTTCCATAATCTACCTGGTGCTTGCTGCACGTTTCTGCAAGGTTGTTGGATTTGGTGGAATTCAAAACCGCTGCATTTTGTGAACGTGTAGGCATTCCAAAAACAGAGACAGATGCCACTCTTCTAGGTCCTTCCAGAGATGACCTGGGTGGCGTCTGAGGAGAAAATGACCGTCTCATCTCCACTTGCTGCACAGAGCACTAGCAGGGAGGAAGAGCTGGATTTAAAGTCAGGACTAGTGGTGACTTAGGACAGAAAAGAAGACCTCCACTAGACAGCACAATTGTAGATGAACAGATTTAACACACAGTGCAAATATCTTTTGTCCCGTTTGCCCAACCTAAGACTTCCCACACCCCAACTCAGCAAACAGTAGCGCCGGCTCCGGGCCACTCAGCGCGCACTCCTAAATCCTTTCTTTTCTCGAAACCCGCTGCCCGTAGTCAGCAAGTTCTACACACGCTGAGATTGGTCCCTTTCTCTCCGTCCTGACTCTTCATCCCCTAGCCCGGGCCACCGCGCTCTCCCGTACACTGCGTGGCCCTACAATCCAGCCACAAACTACGATTCCTTATCAGG